GGCCCAGACCCCCTGGGCTGCCTGGGGAACATCAGAACTGGCCTGTGAGGGGGACCGCAGTGTGGCCTGCTTATTTGAGGGCGGAGGATGCCGCTTGTGCAGGCAGGGATGGCCAGTGACACCCAGGCCTGGGGCCGGGCAGCAAGGCGGCCTGGCCCTGAATCCTGCAGCTCATTCTGCTGACCCAGTACTCAGTGTCCATGGCATGAGAGCTACAGGGGAGGGTTTGTTCTTGTTCTATTGAGGAAGATAGATTTAAATTCAGGGGCAAACTGTGGCCTGAGGACAAATCTGGCCTACCACCGTTTTTGTCAATAAAGTTTTATTGACACACAGCCATGCCGTTCATTTACATATGTCCCTGGCTGCTTTTGTACCACATTGCAGAGTTGAGTAGTTGTGACAGACTTTGCAGCTTGGAATGTTCACTGTCCGGCCCTTTGCAGGTCTAGTTTGCTGACCGTGGCTGTACAGAAAGCAGCCAGGACCCGGGCTGTGCAGGGGGCTTCCTGAGAGGCATGGTGGGCTGGGCACCGGAGGGGCTGTGGGGTTTTTGGAAACACAGGAAGCAGCAGCCATGTGGGGGCTTGGTCAGGAAAGGAGCTGCTTGGGGTGCAGATTGCTGGGGTGTGGCTCTGAGCATCTGCTGAAGCGGTGGCCCAGGCGATGGTGAAGTGGCCTGGGGGCTCCTGGCCCAGAGGACACTCCCCAGCTCGCCCCCAGCACCACCAGGGGCTGTGGGCAGAGCAACTACCGTATTTTTCGGACCATAAGACGCTCCGGACCATAAGACGCACCAGTTTTTAGAGAAGGGAAATGAAGAAAAAAAGATTCTGAAACAAATAGTGTCCTAAAATATTTTATGTGCATTAAAACCCAACATCACAGTCATAAACACATGTAATCAACCCTGTAAAGTAAACAGCAGCATTTAGAACCATTTTAGAGCCGGGCAAGCACACAGAGACCACACAGAGCCGGGCAAGTAAAAAAACTTTTTTTAAAAAGTATATGTGTAGGCTATATTTGGACCATAAGACGCAGGGACTTTCCCCCCCACTTCTGGGGGGAAAAAAGTGTGTCTTATGGTCCGAAAAATACATGTAGTTCATGCCGTTTTCTTTTCTTTTAATATATTTTATTGATCTTTTACAGAGAGGAAGGGAGAAAGATAGAGAGCTAGAAACGTTGATGAGAGAGAAACATCGACCAGCTGCCTCTTGCACACCCCCTACCAGGGATGTGCCCGCAACCAATGTACATGCCCTTGCCCGGAATCGAACCTGGGACCTTTCAGCCCACAGACCGATGCTCTACCACTGAGCCAAACCAGTTTTGGCTCATGCCGTTTTCCAAGAGAAGCCGGCAGCCTGGTTTCCTGGGGAACGTGCTGGAAGTGAGGAAGGAGAGGGGTGTGGGTGGACCCCGGGGACATGCCAGGCTTAGGGCCCCAGGATCCCTCCTCAGAGGGTGGTGGGCGGGCTCTGTGCTGGGGGAGGGCACTCAGGGTTACTGGGAGGTGCAGGGGGTGTGGCTGAGCCGGGGCCTGCAGGGCTGCTCTCCTGTCTCCATCCTATCGGAGCAGGTGGGTCACCCCTGCCTGCAGACTTGGCATGAGCCTGAGGGGGGCACCCATCCTTGCTCATCTGGCCACCCCCAGAGGCGAGGGCCTCTTACGGCAGCTGGTGGAGGGGTGGGAGGTGGAGATCTCCACCGTCCCCTGAGAGATTCTTGAGGTTTGGGCTTGCTGCTCTGTCCTCATAGAGTCGAGGTTGTGCCAGGAGGGGTGGGTGATAGGTGGGGGCTGGGCATCGGCCTGGGGGACCCCCGCGGGAGGCTCATGTGCCCTGCGGTGGGGATGACTCTCTGATCGCAGGTTGCCATGAGAATGAAGAGAAAGTGGAGTGACAGGGCTGGGTTTGCACAGCATCTGGGGGGCCTGTGCTGGGGCCCGGCCTCGGGGGTGGGCCTGTTCCCCCGACAGCAGCTGGGGCACTGAGCCATTTTCAGCCTCACAGATGGGCCCTCACCTGCTGAGTCTAGAACTGGCTTCCAGGCATGCGCTGGCACCACTCTGGGTCTAGTGTTTGCTTTAAGCAGGACTCTTGGTTGCAAGTGACAGCAATCTGGGCCAGCTTGGCTTCAGCAAGACGTCCTAGCTCAGGAACGGGGAGCTCAGGAACGGGGAGCCCGGGCAGTGGTCAGCCCAGGGCACATGTGGCTCATGCGCCGCGGTTTGCCGCTTTGTTGACTAATGAGCTTGCCGACCACTGGCCCAGGGTAACGCTAGCATCTAGCAAAATCTACTCAGGTGCTCACATGATTTTGTCAGGTCTCTGTCTTGCTCTGTTTCCAACTCAGCATCCTTGGCAGCCCCCCCAGTGGTGGCAGAAGTCCCTCAGGCCCTAGCCAGTTTGGCTCAGTGGGTAGCGGCTTGGCCTGTGGACTGAAGGGTCCTGAGTTCGATTTCGATCAAGGGCACGTACCTAGGTTGCAGGCTTGGTCCTCAGCCCTGGTCGGGATGCATGCAGGAGGAAATTAACCGACGTGTCTCTCTCACATTGATGTTTCTCTCTGTCTCTCCCTCTCCCTTCTATTCTCACTAAAAATCAATGGAAAAATATCCTCGAGTGAGGATTAACAACAACAACAACAACAAAGAAGTGGCCCTCAGGCATCCTCACTGGACCCTGGGTGGAGATGGGGACATCCCTGTCCCAATAGTAAAAGTCCCACAGCTGCTTCTCATTGGCCCCGCTTGGGTCACATGATCACCCCTGGCCCCATCCCTGCCGGGGGAGGTCAGGCCTCCTCTCACCCTTCCTTCAGCTGTGGGTGGGCTGGGGGCTGGCACCAGCAAAAGCAGGACAATCAAGATGCCCCTCCAAACCGGAATGGGAAGTGGAGGCGGGACAGGCACACGCCCTCGCCACGCCCACCCACGGGCCAGAGCAGCGCTGGAGCTAAGAGGCCACCTTCCGCTGGCCACCCGTTCCGGCAGACGTCCGCCCAGCTTGCCAGCCCGCTGGGGCCCTTCCTCACATTTCTCCCCGTGCCCACTGTGCTGCCAGGGGCTTGCTCCAGGGCCGGGATGGAGCCACCAGCCCTGCAGCCTTGCTTCTGGTCGGTCGGTCGGTCGGTCGGCCGGTCGGCCGGTCGGCAGGCTGGGGGCTCTGCAGACAAGGGAGCGCCAGCCGTGCGTCATGTGGGTCCCTCGCGAGAACGTCCTTTTCTGGGCACAGGCAGCAGCTCCCTAACAACCTGGGCCGTCTGGCCGGGCCCACCTCCCTGCGCCCCTTCCCTGCGTTCCGAAGCAGGAATGGTGCTTCCTTCCCTCACGAAGCAGGGCCATTTCCTACATCACATCTCGCTGGATCTAAAGTGAGGTGACCGGATTGTCCCGCTTTTGGCGGGACAGTCCCGATTTTTAACAATTTTTCCCGCGTGCCGTGGTGTTTTAAAGGAGTCGGGACTTTTTGAAAATGCCGGGGGACTCGGGGAAAATCGACCATTTCCTGACCATTCGTGGTTCCTTCATAAGGAGATGGATTTTCCTCCTCTTTTGGAAGCCTGTCCCCTTGAGAGAGGAGGCGAAAGCCCCGTGGGTGTGGTAGAGCCATTTAAAAAACAACGGGATCGGGGGCAAGGCCCAGCAGCTCCAGGAGGGCCACACAGCGGGACCCTGGCTGTGACCCGGCCTGGTCCCTGGCCTGTGGGGACTCCCACGGGCCCCTTCTCTGGCCTGGGCCCCAAGCCTGTCTTTCTGGATCTCAGGATGGACTTTGGGGTGTTTTCAGGATGGCACTGGGCATGGGCCAGTTCTCGGGGGGAATGGGGTGAAGATACCCCAAAGCTGTGGGCTCTCCTCTCGCCTCATCGCGTTCCCCGGTGTGGGCTCTCAGCTCCCGGCCGCGGTGCTATTGAGGGGCTGTGTCCCACCTGTGGGGTGGGATGCAGCCCGGGAGGTGCTGGGAGAAGGGGGACAGGTGGCAGAGGCCCCAAGCAGCCTCCGAGTGGGCTGAGCCGCTGGGCCGGCCGGCACTGAGGGCGTGGAATGTTCCGTCTGTCCCTCTGTGAGGCCGGCCCGCGACCAAGGGGAAATGCCCGTCTTGGTTTTCAGATGCCGGTGATGACTCGGAGGTTTGTGCTCCGAGACACCTGGGCAGATCCTGCCTCACTGGGAATTCTTTGATGCAATTGAGAGGGCTGGGTGTGGGGAAGGCCCGGTGTGGGGAGGGCCCGGGGCCCTGGGCTCAGACCCTAGAATCCGCCTCCTCCCACCCTGCCCCCTGCCCCTCCCCCTACCGGGAGCAGCCTCTCCGCAGCCTGGCAGACCCCCAGCTGCCACTCACTGGGATCAGCCCTGAGAGCTCTGCCCAGGCCACATCGCGGAGCAGTGACATCAGCCTCAGGGCGGTCTGAGCGTGGTCCTTCCTAACCCTCCCAGGAGACTCCCCCGTGCGTCCGAGTTTGAGGGGATCCTCGAGAAGCGGGTCTTTCCTCGGATGCTGGTGTAGCCGGAGCGGTCTGCCACTCAGAGCCCGGGGAGGGCGCTGATGGGAAGCCCCTCCCCCCTCCCTGCCCCAGAACCGCCCCAGAAATAAGTCCGCGCTTCCTAAAACGACTCCATCGAAAACACAATAACTAGCCAGCGCACCTGGCACACACCAGGCAGCGCAGGTGGGTCAGCCTGTCCCCTGTTCCCTCAGTGGCAGGCCCCGCCCCGGCTCCCTGGACCCTGAGAGCTGTCTGTGCCCGGGCCCAGCGGCTGGTTCTGCCAATGTCCCTGCGAGCAAGTGCCAGCTCCGCCTGTGCTTGCTGAGGCCCCCACGGTGCCCCGGGCACAGGGACCTGCACGGTGCCGGCTCCGAGGAGCTGCCAGAGCCTCGGGGGCAGGGGGTTTCCCGTCACATGCAGGACTCTCTCTAGAGGACCCGTTCCTCCACAGAACAAGTGGAGTCACATGGCTGACGGGCACCCCGTTTTCTGTCATTCCAGAGCTGCCCAGGCCGGCGTCCCCGATGTTCGAGCTGCCCGCGTTGTGCCGGACTGAGGACCGCTTTCCTGCCGAGGCCGGCGGGCAGCGCCCCAGCCCCCGCTGCCGGCCCCGCCTGTGAGCCGGGCCCTGTGTCCGGGCCGCCGGGGAGCGGCCCTCTGCGTGCGGGCGGCTCCGGCTTCTCCTGCTTCTGTGGTCACTGATCTGTTTGCTGAATTTCCCCCCTGGCTTCACGTGAGACGGACCGAGGGGTCCGAGAAGCAGCTGCACCTGCAGGCGATGCTTTGTCCCCAGTGGCTGCGGTCAGGTGTGACGGGCCGCTGTGCCCCGGACGGCGGGGACTTGCTCCCTGGAGGGTTTTGTGGGAACATGGGGGACTCTCGGGTGCCACAGGGCTGTGTGGGTGATGCCCTCGCTGTTGGCTGGTGTGTCTGCGAGCCCAGTGCCCCTGGCATGTGAACCGTGTCAATAAAGGTGTCAAGAGGTCATGCGTGGTCTGGGCGCGGGAAGGGGGAGCTGTTCCTCTCCGCTGTGTGTGGTTTCCTGTAGGCTCTCCTGCACCGCGGCCTGCCCCAGGCTCCGATGCTGCCCTGGTACCTGCCGGGGAATTCCGGCCCCAGGGCGTGTGCTCCCTGTATCCTCATGCAGGTGAGCTTCCTGCTATTGCCCTGCAGGTCCGGATTCCGCACTTCAGTCACCTTTCTGGTTTTTCTAGAATTCCTCAGAGAGCCAAGGGAACACACACACACACCTGCACTAGGATTTCAAGGAAATTTAACTTAGGTGAGCTAGCGAGAAAGGAAAAAGTTGAGGCTTGCCAAGTTTAGGGTAATTTTTGGAATTAAATGATAAAGGTGGACCCCTTGTTTCAAGAAGAGCTGATGTTTTCCTGTGGAGGCAATTTTTGTAAACTTTTATAATTTAAAAATTAAAAATGTTTATAAATTATTTTAAACTCTGGAAGTCCAGTGGACATAGAGAAAGGTAAACCTAAGCGTCTGGTTCAGAGTTTTCACGCCTGTTCTCCTCTCCCCGGTGGAGAAACAAGCAAGCTTGGTCAGTGTCATGGCCTCCCGCTGCCCAGTCCCCTGTGCCAGCCCCGCCCTGATGCCTCTCGGTATGGACGGGCTGCAGCCTCTGTCCTCTGGGGGCTGCAGGGTGAGGAGGAAGCACACAGTAGGTCCTCTCCGTGGCTCCCGGCTGACCCTGCCTGCAGGAGGAGGCCCCTTAGGGCTGCGTTCATTCTCGAGGCTGCGTCGGATCGATCCGGAATGTTCTTAATGAAGGGAGCTTAGCACTCGCTGTGCCCCAGCCTGCTCGGGGAGAGCATAGATTCGATGGAACGTTCATTTTCCAGACACCCCTTCCCAGAGGCTGAGCATAGGTTGATTGCTGGAGAAGCCGAGGCTTCTTTCTCCTTCTTTCTCTTTCTCCTTGAACCAGGTGCCAGGCAATGCCAATGCCTTGGCACCTTCAGTGGTCTAAAAATAGAAACATTCATTCTTAGCCACAGGACCGAGGCTAAGAGCTTACGGGCTCTGAGGTCAGCTGGCCTGGGTGGCACCATCATCTCCTTAGGCCTCAGCTGTGTGACTCCAGGCTAGTTGCTCACCCTTTCTGAGCCCAGCCTCCTCCTCAGTACAATGCTGAGGACAGTGGGTTGCTATGAGGATGAGACAGGAGACTAGCACGAGCATATTCCTCGGGGCCTGGCGGGGCGCCCGGGTGGGTGCTGTGGCTGCGGAGGCCAGGAGGAGGGCTGGCACCACATTTCCCAGGCGCCCAGGGGCACTGAAGAGCCTCCCCAGCAGTGGCTTTGGACCGGCCCTTCTATTGCAGGGTGAGAACGAGTCAGGAGGGACAGCTCCCAAGAGTCCAGCTCTTGCAGTAACACTGCTCATTACACACGCAGAAAAACAGAGGCCACTGCAGATTCCCATGAGAGCAAGGCTCTTCGGCCGCTGTCTGCCCTTCTCCAGGGATGCGAACTTCATGTCAAATCAAAAGGCTCCAAGATGGTGGCCCTGGGTTGACAGAGTGTGTGGTTGGCCCTAAACTGTTTGTACATTGTTTTCAGGTTGAGAGAACTGAGTAACTACCTGGAAAGAAGTGAGTTCTGTTCTTCACTCTGCACACCAGGAGCAGCTCCGGAATTCCAGATGGCTTAAAGAGGAGTTAAATAGGTGAAAGTTAACATATAAGGAGGCAGAAAAATTGACCAAATGACCCTATAAGTTTATTGTTTGGCACTGCAACTCCCAGGACCCTGGAATGGCCAATTCTAGCTCATTTGCCACCATTTCCCCATAGATGTTCTCACCGAATAATACAAAATCCAGAAGCCATAAAAACTAGATAAAATTGACCATGTATACGATTACTCCTCTGCATGGCAAAAACAAACAGAGGGGGGGGGAAATGAAACTCCAAAACAGAAAAACAAAATCCTAAGTTTATTTATTTATTTATTTTAAATCAATCTTTATTGTTCATATTATTACAAAGGTTCCTCATTTCTTCCCCCCTCCACCAGGTTCCCACCCCACTCTCCGCCCCCTCCCTATCCTCCATTGTCTTCATCCATTGGTACACAGTTTATGTTCAGTCTCTTCCTCCCTCCCTTTCCCCGATAGTAAATCCCTTTTCAGATAGTAAATCAGTTACTTAGCATTTTCTCATATCAATAATACCACCACATGCCCAATGATACATTTCACACAAAAGACATTTCCAAATAGGTCAACCAGCTTCATCCAGGCCCCACCCAAGGCACTCATAGATCAACACCCCAGCGCTATACTAACTCAACACATCCAGATCTAAGCCTTCATCACTTGATTCAGCAGACCCTCAAGTTCCTGCAAAAGTTTCCAGCCATGTCTGAGAGGCAGCCGTGGGGCAGGGGCAGGTGAGGAGCGAGCTGTTCCGGGCCTGGCTGCTCCGGGCCTGGCCTCTGTTGCTCTGGTTCTCTCCACAACCAGCTGCTCCGGGTCTGGTCACTGCCGCTCCCGACCTAGTTGCTCTGGACTTGGCTGCTGCTGCTCCGGGCCTGGCCGCACCCGACCCGGCTGCTCTGGGCTCGGCTGCTCCGGGCCTGGCCGCACCCGACCCGGCTGCTCCGGGTCTGGCTGCTCCCAGCCTGGTAGCCACTGCTCTGGGCCTGGCCTAAGTATATTTAAAAGACAAATGACAAACAAGGAAAATATATTTGCAGCTCACACGGCGGAAGGATAAACCCTTAATATGTAAGCAGCACCAATATATAAATAAGAGGAGAAATAATTAAAAATGGGCAAAGGATTTCTAGTCAGCAGTTGCAAGATTTTTTAAAGAAAAGAAATGCGGCCGAAACTGGTTTGGCTCAATGGATAGAGCGTTGGCTTGGGGACTGGAAGGTCCCAGGTTTGATTCCGGTCAAGGGTATGTACCTTGGTTGCGGGCATATCCCGCAAGAGGCAGCTGATCGATGACTCTCTATCATCGATGATTCTAACTCTCTATCTCTCTCCCTTCCTCTCTGTACAAAATCAATAAAATATATTAAAAAAAGGGGGGGGGAAATAGTTATAGAGATAAAGAATCATTGAACAGACTGTCAAACTATAGCAGGAGGGAAGCCCCGTGTCCATCACTCTGGACTGGTAACAGCCCATCCATGACGCAAGGATAGATGGAATGCCTTGAAGCTGTAAGAAAGGATTAGGAATTCTTTATGAATCGGTGTAGAAACAGCACTGAGATCAGAAAGCCACAGTGCGTACACATGTGCATGATATGCCACCATCTGTGCACGAAAGAAAGGCATCGAAATCCTCTGGGAGGAGTAACAGAACTTTGAGAACAGTGAGTATGTTTTAGGTGAGAAAGCTTTTTTCTTTACTTTTGTATACTTAAAAAATAATTTTTGGCCCGGCTGCGGTGGCTCAGTGATTGAGCATTGAGCTTTGAACCAGGAGGTCATGGTTCAATTCCCAGTCAGGGCACATGTCTGGGTTGTGAGTTCCATCCCCAGGGCGGGGTGGGGAGCATGCAGGAGGCAGCCTATGGATGATGTGTGTGCGTGTCTCTCTAATTAATAAAAATACATTAAAATATTTTGGTGTTTACTACTCAAATATTCAATTAAAATCAGTTGCCAGCATTGAAAAATTTGAACAGTCCAGATAAAGACCTGGACTTCCTGTTTCTCGTTAAAAAAAAAATTGGAATTGCCTGGCATTATTGGCCCGCGTTCTTTCAAGGCAACAATGAGCTACCGCTGGGCCGCTCTGGCGGGCGTGCTCTCCTGGTTTCTTGGATCAAACGGCTACTAATTGATTTTACTCAATGGCCGCTGTGGGCATTGGCATTCGCAGGCATGTCTGTGCCCGAATCCAGATTCCATGGGGACAGGGAGTGGGGGTCTCATAATAGAAATGTGTGCTTTCCTCGCTCTCCTTTGCGGGGGTGGGGGGGGTGGGGGTGGTGTCAGACAAAGATATAAGAAAACTACAGTACATATAAATACAAAACTCCTCGACAAAGTATTAGTGGACTGAACCCAGCAACGTAGGAAAAGGATAATTCACCACGCCTAAGCGGGAGCTCCTAGAAATGCAAGGTTAGCTTAACTGAAAATCAGCGTCACACACTGTATTACTAAAGGTCAGAAACTATGCCGTCACCTCAGTAGATGCAGAGGAAGCATCTGACAGCCTGCGCGGGTGATAGAAAGCTCTCCTTGGGGTAAAAACGGGAGTTCTCAGGGAGGAGGACTGGATGCCTGTTGACACCCAACCCTGCCAGGCAGCTGGGGGCAACCAGGCATTTTCCTTCCCACCTTAAAGCAAGATTCCTCTTTCATCTTATGGTCTTAAGAACACAACCATCTTGGGTAAGATGACCAGACGTCCCGATTTTTAACAATTTGTCCCTGCGTCCCGCGGTGTTTTAAAAAAGTCCAAAAATCGGGACTTTTTTAAAACGCCGTGGGACGCGGGGACAAATTGTTAAAAATCGGGTCTGTCCCTCCAAAAAAGGGACGTCTGGTCACCTTAATCTTGGGGTTTGCAGATTCAAAGCAAAGTGGTCCTGACTCTGAGCAGCCGCCTGTGAGTCCTGTGGGTTGGCTGTGGATTCAAAAGCCTGAAGCCTCACCCGGCAGTCATCAGCGGGATGCACTTCAGGCTCCGAGCCGCGTGGGAGGGGCGGGGGGTGGAGGGCTCGTCTCTGCCCTCTTTCCTAGGGCTTTGGCGGGTCTGTGCTGCTGGCTGGGAGTCTGAGGAAGGGGTTGAGGAGCAGACTGCCCAGGCAACTGTATTGGGTTGGGAAAAAGGGTGTTTCTACCAAAGAACCAAACCAGCCCCGCCTGCACGCTGTAGGCCGGGCCCACAGCCGGAAGGACTTTCTCCCTGGGTCTGGCGAGGAGCTGCTCGTTACACATGTGACGGTGCTTCTGGGAGAGCCAGGCCGAGGCGTCCGCGAGGGAGACCCCGAGGGGCACCCCT